GGACGAGGCAGCTGCCAAGGCCGCAAAGGATAAGGACGAAGACCGACACTTCCTTGATGTCGAGTTCGACGAGGAGGACGAGGATGAGTTCGCGGCATTTCTTTTTCCGGAGGACATCGCAGCTGCCAAGGCCGCCAAAGCTGCCAAGGCTGCCGAGGAAGAAGAATGAGGAGGAACTTGAGGGCTTGGGACACGATATCTGAGCGTCTCTCGTTGCTTGCATAGCGTATTCGCGACGAGAACCGAACGTTTGTCCATTTAATAGCATTTGCATGCGGTGGGTGGATGGGTGGGCTGGATGATCATGGTCGGATGGCTGCACCGCCACTCCTGTGGCTCGTAGCAAGCCAATCCACCCGCGAGTCGATGATCTGAATATGAGGAATGAATAACGAAGTCACGTTCATTCCAATTGTAGGGACTTGATGCATTTGCAGTGACGTTTTACCAGAGAGAAATACTCTGCATCGTGGTCGCGTCGCGTCTCGAGGCCTGGTTACGTGCGGAATCGAGGTGAGGTCGTTCCGCCCCGCCCCGCCCAGGCTGCGCTGCGCTGCGCTGCCGAGGATCTATGAAGGAGAACGCGACATTCGATGCATGGCCTCATCTCGTGAAAAAGAACCTGCAGTGGAGGAATTTGAATTCGTGTTGTTCGTTCCTTTAACTATTCATTTATTTATCTATTTGATTATTCGATTATGATCTCTCCATGCGCGGCGTTGCGCTGCGCTGCGTTGCGCGAGCAATGATCGCCGGCCGCCGTTCAGTGCGGCCGCGAGGAGGTATCGGAGACGCGATCGCTCGCTCGAGAAAATGGGCTTATAAGACGAGGAATTCGATGCGCTATCGATTGAGAAATTCTTCTTGAGTGAGGGCGTGCGTTGTGGTGGTTATTATGCAGACTTTGCGTCGCGTAAAGAGGTTATTGGATGCCGCCCGCCCACAGCGCAGCAGCGCCCGCTGCCCAGCCCCGCCGAATTTCCCCCAACAGACAACGCGATGCGATGCGATGCGACGCCAACGCCATGAAACCGAATAGAATAGAATACCACAGGAAAGACAAAGAAAAAATTGCTCAGGTGTCAGGGAGTGAGAGAAGGTTTATTTGATTCCCGTTTCCGTTCCTGCTTCCGTTTCTGTTCCCCGCCACCTCACGGCGGACTTGGCGGCTCGGCGTCGGGCTTTGATGCTATCCTATAGATAGCGACCGCGAATGAACGAACCTCGTCTCTTACTCCCACAGACCGTGTCTCCCTCACGCTCACGAGCATGCTGTCTATTCCTCGAAAAAGAAAAGAAAAGAAAGAAAGAAAGAAGTGCGCGGGTTGAAGAGAGTTGTGGCTGCGCAGTAGCGCAGTGGCTAGAGAGCGATGCGAGGTGTCTGATTGGTCGGAATTTTTATCTGAAGCTCCGGGTTGGCTTCGGGGGTCGGTGGTTCGGAGATGGTTCGGCATCAAGCATCGCCGTGGTCATTCGGCTTTGGGTAGATGGTGGGTGTGGAATAATTTTTGCTGTAGGGGCTGGTTGCAGGGGCTGCGAAGGAGCTGCGAATGCGAAGTGCAAACAAACGAGCAGATAGATGGGTGGTTGGCTGAGAATAGTAGAGTGGGTTGATTCGATTGATTAGCGGCGGCGGAAGGAATGTCACATCTCCCCGCCTTGGGTGAGTTTCAACCTCCCGCCCGCGACCGATATCGCCGCTGTGGGGGCTGCGAGGTCTAAACGAGCGAATGAGTAGCCTATTGAGAAGAGTGGGTTGATTCGATTAAGCAGCGGCGGTGAGTGGGAAGAGAAGAGACGAAAGAAGGGCACGCGGAAGGATGGTCACATCTCCCCGCCCGGCCTACGTTTCAACCTCCCGCCCCGCGTCTGATATCACGGCTGCAGGGGCTGCGACGTGTAAACGAAGGAACGAACGAACGTAGCTCGTCGAGAAGAGTGGGTTGATCTGATTGGGCGGCGGCGGCGATGAGCCGGATCCCAACGAAACGAACAACAAAGAAAAGCAGGCCCGAGAGATCGGGTGCAGATGTGTCGGGCGGGAAGCCGAAACGGGGGCTGGCTGGCTGCCTCTGGGCGTCACATGGGGGAAGGAAGCGGTGAAGATGTGGGCAGCGAATTGTTAGGAAAACGGGGGTGGTGCGGCATACGGGCAGTTTATTTCGTCTCGTCTCATCGATCTGGTTCGGCGAAGGAAAGTCGAGCAGGCACATCATGTTTTGGCGGAAGCGAGAAGCGTGTCTGGGTCGAAGTAGCTACGTAGCGCACGTCATCGTCGAACGAAGCTAGTTTCGGGTCGGCGCATCGACTGTGGGTCTGCATCGGCCTGGATTGAGGGGCACGCGGGTGTGAAAGGGAATGCAGCGAGGCTGAGAGATTTGAGAGCGTTTGCCAACGTGACACAGTCCGTGGGCACCCAGGCTTCTGTCCGTCTGTTGAAAGTGCAGATAGATAGCTATATAGATACATGACAAGTCTCTCGCCTTTTCGAGCTCGACCTTCCAGATCCTCTCTCAAGCCTCACAGCCCTAACTCTGAGCAGGGTTCCGCGGGGCAGCCTTACATCCCGTTCCCCATTAAGCAACGGTCACTCCTCGCGTCCCACATCACCGTATCGCTCACTCTCTTGGACAAGGTCGGGCACTCGTCATGCCAGGGCAAGTCACCCTTCTGTTTGACCTCGCGCTGCGTCGTTCCATGCTGACTTGAGCCCACAGCACGCCAGAGCCCGGAGTCCCAGGGAGCATGCCAGGGAGCATGCCAGCACCACCACCAGCGCACCCTCCTCCTCCGCCACCACCACCACCACCACCACCACCACCACCAGCGCAACCAGCCCACCCGCAGCACCAACGCACCAACGGCGACAGCGCGCCAATATCCGTCCACGGCTCTTCCTCCACCATGCTCCGCCTCGCGATCCTGCTCTGTCTCTCGCTCGCCCAGCTCGTCTACGCCCCGAGCTTGCTCACCAAGCTCACCGGCCTCGTCATGCTCGCATGCAGCCTGACGCTCACGCTCGAAGCCATCGGCCTGTGGGTGCCCGTGTGGCAGATGTTCTGCACCTTCTTCGGATGGGTGTACGGCGAGGGATGGGTGCATGCATGGGGCTGGCGGCCAACGGCGGCGGCGACGGGACGAGGTCGTCGTCGCTCCGAGGACGCGGCGATCGTCGAGGATGAGGAGCGCCGCAGGTTCTTGCGCGCGTATGAGGCGTATTATGCGGGAAGAGGGAGAAGGCTCGACTAGATAGGCGAGGTGAGGTGAGGTGGTTGTGGGGTTGGGTTTGTGAAGTTGGGTTTGTGACGTTGGGTTTGTGACGTTGGGTTGTCGTCGGAGGCAGCCGAAGCTCGGGAGAAGAGCTTGCGCGGATTTGGACGAGGCGCCTGGGCGTGGCGCCGGCTTGGATCATCCTCTTTTCCGAGCGCAACCTCACCTGTTCCTTTCACATCACATTCCCTTTTTCTGCTCGTCACGCACGGCTCCTTTCTTCATGGTTTCTATTGTAATGTGTGCTGGGGCACTTGGGTCTTTCTTCTTCTCGATTCCCGTTGTAATAATAGGTGTGGTGTTTCTTTTCTCCTACAACCGGGAGAAACAATTCGACTCTTCTTTGCTCTACATGCTTGCTGTACTATACAACTTCATCTTCTCCATCGAAGCTTTACCGTGCCCGTTTCTTACTTTGGCATCTAAAGCTGGCTCTGCGTGTTCTGCGTAATGTGTCGCCGCGATGGGTGCGTCCTGTGCCAAGCCTTTATCAGCCTCATAAGTCACGTGGGTCACCAGCCAGCCCATGGAGGAAATCCATGAGCGAATCCTTTCTCACCACCTCAACCGCACCGCTGTCAACCTCATCGTCGCAGCCACGACCTCCGTCGTAAATCCGAACGGTGTGATCTGATACCGAAATTGAGCGCGCAAATGCTAACACCCCGAATCTAGGAGCCCGTTCCGAGTCCGAGTCGTCCCTCGAGCCAACAAACCGCCCTTAGGTTTAATGTGAGGACATCCATCAGGCCATGCATGAGGCACGGTGTTCATGTTGAACCCCTCATCCAGAACCCAGACGAAGCGCCCAACATTTTGCACCCACAAAGATTATTGCATTCTTCGAGCTTTGAGACTGGGCAAAGAGAAATTCGTCGTTATTGTTGTACCGTTTCGTCGTCGTACTGTTTCGTCTGACACGGCGATGGGCGGCACGAGCCCCACTGTTGGGGTCACGTGCATCGGTGTCCTGCGGCGCTAGCGGCCACAGCGCTGCGCGCCCCATCATCTTTCATCTCTCCTCTACACCCCGCCCCGCTGCATTACCGCCATCGCCATGCAGCCCGCAACCCGCTCTCGTCTCCCTCCGCCTTCCCACCGCGCTATCCATCGGGAGATGCAGCATCGCGCATTCGTGCCTGGCTGACCGAGTTGCGAGACAGCCCGCCGCGCCCGCTTTCTCCCCCGCACGAAACACAGCTGGCAGCCGACGCGCAGCCCGCGTCACCCTGCCAGCGTCCACGAAAGCGATGACGCAGCAACAGCGACGCAGCACCCGCCACGATGCCCGCCGACGACGCTCCGCCAGCGCGCAACACTAGTCCCAAGCGGAGGCGGACAACACGAGACGAAAGCCCGGCACCCGGCCAGAGCGCCCCACAAGTCGGCAGCGTCGGCAGCATCCTCACCCTCACCGAAGGCACCACCTTTAGTGCTCCTCGCACCCCGAAACGCGCATCGAGTCCTATCCGCGAGCTGACCCAGCTGTGCACGGCGCGGCCGCCCATCCTGCAAGATGCGCTCGCGATGCCGACCCACGCCCTCTCCCCTCACGTCAACACCCGCCTTCAAGCGCTACGGAAGAGAACGCGACAGCACAACATGGAGGGCTACATTCCAAGATGTTTGAAGGACGCGCTGGGGGGAGAGCTGGCCTTCGCTACTGCTTTGCAGGCCGAGCCCATCGACGACGAGGCATACGACGACGGCGTCGACAGCACACGGGAAGACATCGCTGATATCGTGGAGCGGGTCAAGGCTGTCTTTCAGGGCACCGAGCTCTGCCAGAAGGGTGGGAAAGACGAGAACGGCTGGTGCCTCGATGTCGTAGGCCCTTTGCTCGAGCTCGCCATGGTTCTGTACGGCCATGGCCGCTTCCGGCGGGAAATCGTGTAAGAATCCCCTTCGCATTGCTTGCTTCTGGCGCACTAATATATGTATCGAAGGCAATCCCAAAGCATTCAACCGGCATACCTTTCGCTCGTCCTCAACCACTCGAGCGATCCGCCCCGAGAGCGACCGCTGTTTCGCAAGACGGACTTCTGCTTCTCCTACTCGCACCTATCTCCCCAATACGCGACCCTCTACGAGCGATTACGGAACACTCTTGTGGCGCACACAACGGACAACTTCACCCAACGGGCCGCGCTCTTCTCCGGCGTTGAGGTGAAGCCCGCGGGTGGGAGTCTAGCCGAAGCACAGCTTCAGCTGAGCATCTGGATGGCGGCGAGTCTACGAAAGAAGGCGGAACTCTTCAGGAATACTTTCGGGCACGAGTCTTGCTTGGATACTCCCGCACCGGACCCTGCTCCGGCAATCGACGAAGGCGTCGACGTCGCCTCTACCAGGGCAAGCACCTCTTCGCCACACTGCCCCCAACGCGACGCCCTGATCGAACCGGCGGTGACTATCATCGGCGCGGAGCACAAGTTGTACTACGCGCTCGTCTCCGGTCTCTCTGATCCCGCCGATCCCAAGGGCTGCACCGTCTCAGTCCTAGGCCCCGATCGGAATCTCGCCGGCCTCTCCACGGAATCCATATCGGGCATATTCCGACTGGCTCGCGTGTACGGGAACATCTTTCAGTATGGGTTCGATGAAGACCCAAAGCACGGCTACTGGGGTGCATTTCTGGGTCCGTTGCTAGAGGAGGTTGCGAGGGCAAGCAATGGTGGATGAGGAAGAGATAGCCTTCCACATATATCAATCAAACGTCGTTCGTACGCCACGGGGATGCGATGTAATAGTCGCCACACCGCTTTGTCTCGTTCGCCTTGTCTTCTACACCTCTACACCTTCATACTTCCACAACAACTCGCTCCATTCTGCTCCGTCTTATCGCCGTACGTTGATCGCCTATAATGCGCAACACGAACTCCTGCAAGCCTACGCGTGATCCGGATAGCCTTGTGTGCTGCTCAACCTCGTCGCAACCATACCCATAGAAAACGCTCATGGGGTCTCACATTGATATCCCTCCCTCGCCCACTCTTTTCCGTTTTTCTTTTTGCTCGAAATTCACGGAGCCTCACATCGACGTCCCTCCCCACCCGCCATTCTTCTCCCCCATTCGCACCAGCATCTGACACCTACTCTACCCTCCCATTACAGCCCTACTTTTCGGTCGTCCTCTCTCACTCACTCCAACTCCCCACTCATCACTGAATTCTATTTATACCATCCAAGTAGATGTAGATCCTGGGGTATCATCGGAGTTCTTTCCCCAGGCTAGAGAAGAGTCGGGCGCGGCAATAAGCGCGCATTCATCCACTCCGCTCGTACCGTTCTCATGGTGAGAGGGGTGGGCGAGATAGTTAAGGGGAGTAGGATTGTAGGGAGGATCGAGGAGAAAGAGTGGGACGGTAGCGAGGATGGTGAGGTAAGGGATAGATGAGTGGTGTGGGATCTCAGCTGTGTGGGAGGCTTGCGCGAAGTGGAGGGTGGAGTAGAGGATTAGCAATCTGCTGCCGCTGGCAATGTAGCAGCGTCCTTTCAATGTGCGTTGCTTGATCTGGCGATCGAGCTTTGGAACGAGACAGCCTAAACGCATTTGATCGACGACATGGGCTGGGGGAGTCCAGCATAGACATCGCGATGTACTTGGCGATATTTCTTGAGGGTATGGACAGCGGTCCTGGTGGGTGGGTATATTCTTTCGTTACGGAGATGCGGGGGTTCGAGAGCCCTCGCTGATATTCATTGAGATGTAGAGAGAGTGGTGGCTGGCATTATCCTTATAGTGTCTGTCTCGTTCGTATCGCGGGGGAGGGATACTGATTCGCTAGCTTGGGAACATACTCAAGAAGGTAGCGAGAGACGAGTCGGCCAACAAGGCTGTGGGCATCAAGAATGGTTGATTAATTTCTCTCGTTTTAAGTCACCAATCTATAACGTACTTTATCATCGAGCCGACCATATCATCGAGCCGACCACGATTTCTTGGCAACGAAAATCAACGAAAATCAACCCGTTTGTCTTAAATAACTAAGCGAAACCTTAATATTTTTCTATAAAAATTTAGATTTATATTCCTTATAGTATATTACACTATATAATAAAGTTACACTAAGATATATTACGTAATTAAAAAGCTATACGTATTTAACTAACTCTTAAGAAAAAATCTACTTTACTTCTAGTAAGTAGTATTATATCTCTATAATAATATATAAAACTTGTAGTATATAGTATTTATAACGTAATAAAGGTTTCTAGAAAACTTCTATAGCGCTAGCTCTTCTAGGTATAGCGTAATAAGAGATAGAAGATTATAAAAAGTCTTTCTAGAGTTTTCTTCTCTAACTATATATATATAGTTAATCTAGCTATATAAAGTTATATATTATAAGATTATATATACTATAAGTCTTCTATATATTTAGAAGTAATAATTTTAAAATAGTTTTAGTATCTTTCTATCTTTCTATACTATACTACTAAAAAGACTTTACTTTTAAATTACTACTTAAAGCTACTATATTATTAGATAATAAGCTCTATATAGTTAAAACTAACTATAATATATAAAATAATAAGTTTATAGAGCTAGATTAACTATATATATATATATATAGTTAGAAGAAGAAAACTCTAGAAAGACTTTTTATAATCTTCTATCTCTTATTACGCTATACCTAGAAGAGCTAGCGCTGTAGAAGTTTTCTAGAAACCTTTATTAAGTTATAAATACTATATACTATAAGTTTTATAGATTATTATAGAGATATAATAGTACTTACTAGAAGTAAACTAGATTTTTTTTAAAAGTTAGTTAAATATATATAGCTTTTTAATTATATAATATATCTTAGTATAACTTTAATATAAGGTATAATATACTATAAAAAATATATATATAAATTTTTATAGAAAAATATTAAGGTTTTACTTAGTTATTTAAGTAAAACTTATAGATTCTTATTAATTTTTCTTACTAAGAAATTATAGAAGATTTAATAATATAAAAAGTTTAATAATAAAGTATATTATACTAACTATAAACTATAAACTTAAAAAATCTAATTTTAAAAGTAGATTTAACTATTTATTCTTAAGTTATTTAAAGAATATTAAAAAAGTACTAAAAAGTTATAGTACTAATAAAACTATAACTAGTAAGTTTTTTAAAATTTTATTTTATAATATTAAATTTTATACTATATAAAACTTATATTCTAAGTTTTATTAGTATAGCTCTATTAGTTATAGAGTTAGGGGGGGTAAGATTTTCTAGAAACTGTGCGCCAGGTGGGGACGTGCGCCAGGTGGGGAAACCCAGTATGCGGAGACGGCCACAGTGGCATCTTTGTCAGCCGCCAGCCTTGCGTAACCTGGCGCCTGTGCTGTGGCTTGCAACGGGGCCTTGCAGCGGCTAAGGAGGGCTTCACGTATTCAGCGCAGGCCTGACCGATACAATCCAGGATTCGGTCAAGGCTATTCCCACGCGCTCACACGTCTACAAGCTGCTAACTATTCTCTTCTCCTCCTCCTCTTGAGCCGCCTCAAAGCTCTTCCGAATCTACGCACGAGTTTTCTGTCTCTCTTCCCGAGCTGTGTCTTCACCTTCTTTCCCAGTCCGTGTCTTACCCAGAAACTGTAAACCCTGCGGCCATAATCCTCACAATACTTCTTGTTCCACCGCTCGTATCGGCACACATCAGCCATTTCGTCGTTGAACGGATCCAGGGTTTGGGCAAGCTGCCGATTAGCCTTAGATTTGATCAACCACCACCGCTTCCACACCTTCTTCCATGCCGTGATAAGACCTGCTGCGCTTCTTCCCTCCTATTCTTTAGACGTCCAATTGACCATCTCTGGTGACTTCTGTGCTGCCCGATTTCGCTGCGCTCGATGTAGGATGTTCTGACTGGAATGGTCATCGTCTATGTGCATTTCCTCATCAGAATCGTTGATAACGATAGCTCGGCCTCCGTTGTCATTAACGATGATTAGTCCGGACGGCTCCTCGTCATCGGAGATCGATATGGGCATGTCTAGCTCATCAGTCAGCAAAGTTTCCGCTAGAGGAGGTAAATGAGGTACCTGAAGTCCCATGCGCCACACTCGGATGCCTTCCTCTAGTTCGCCTCCGCGACACGGGAGTCCGTCTGCTACTCCTCGCTCCTCGGTTGCGTTAAGTCGTGTGCGAAACTACCTCGGTAGTCTCAGTGTCTTCAGAAGCAGCACGGCACCCGCTCGAATCCGTGGATGCACTCCACGGACTCTGTACATCGTAGCCATCATCCCTATCATCAGCTATCCCTTCGCTGTTTTCCCCATGTCGCTCTTCGATAGCCGGACTCTCGAGGCTAGGACGGAGGTCACGCTTCATGGTCTGGGTGTCAGTTTCCTGGATGTCAATCGTTACTTCCGGCTCTGTCGCGGATATAACTCGGTGAGGGGGTTCGGAAGGCCGGGTAGGGTCCTCATTCCTCGGTTCGGACTCCTGCTCTGCAGTTAAAGTCACCGCAGCTTCTGCATGGCTCGGTCCGGGCACCTCAGGCTCCAAGGTCGAAGCCGTGGTTTGATCGGCTTCTGCACGGCTCGGTTCAGGCACCGCGGGCTCTGGGGTAGAATTTATCGCTTAATCGACTTCTGCACTAGTCTTCGAAGCAGTAAGTGCCGCAGGATGCTCCGGAAGGCATGGCTCCATGGCCTGGCTGGTATGTCCATCGCCTTGGCTCGCGTCGATGGCCCCCATTTCGCACAAGACACCTGCTGCTTGTGTCGCCGCCGCGTCGTCTTGGTGCTCTGGCATCTCGCTGAAGTTCGATTTGGTGTCTCCTTCAGCGTCTAAAAGAGAGTTTGGGCTCAGCCTTTCGATAGTCTGAACGTCCTTCAGCATCAATACAAAGCACTGTGGATTACTCCACTGATTTACCTGGTCCATGTTGTTGGCTTGCCTCCACAGTGTAACGTCGTCGAAGTTGGAACGGTTGAACCCTCAATGGTGGATAGAGCAGCTCGAGAAGCCAAAAGGCAGGAGCACTTATGGTGGCAGGGACTTGGAGCGGGACGAGCTCGCGGAGGCTTTATATGCATCGTCCCTTGCCGCCGGGAAAGCCGGCCTACTCCTCAATGCTAGAATTCTGAGACCACCCCAGCCTCGATTCACGGGCAGTGGACTTGTCATAGCACTCGCATGACCCGTACGCATGAAGAGCGGCGAGTCCTCTCCAATCCCCTGGCTCCGATGGTCCTATCACAAGGCACTCTCGTCCCCCAGCATCCGTTACCGCCGTAGTTTGCAGAAATGCCCCGCCGCTATGTCTTGGGAGAAGCAAGAGCATTGGTGGTGACGGCCCGAGTCTCCCATCCACCTCCTTCTTGGGGTTTCTCAGCCCCTCCTAGCTCCCCTGCCCACGACATCAAGGTTTGATCCCGCCCCATCTGTATTTGCGTCGATGCTCAGCTGATCCTCAACTTCAGACAGCTTGGATTTACGCCGTTTTATGGCGACCAACTCCAAGCGAAAAGACACCGTCGAGGAAGCTCCCGAATCCGCATGCTGTGCCTCCTACCATGAGCATGTCTGCACCAACCGGCCCACCTTATCTTGTCACGCATGAAGATTGCGACACGAGCAACCGTCGGCAATGTCTTGCGCATGCACTTTGGCTAAGATTCCCATCCGCCTTCTGTATAGGTGGTGGTGTGCATGTCGCAGCGGCAAAGGTCACACGATGTTAAGCCAGGGGCCATGCCGTCCACATTCACCGGGAACCCTGTTGCTGCGACAGGACACAGCCGGAAAGCAAGGCCGGGGGGTTTGGACCAGGGGTTCAAGACCGCTTCATAAGACCATGGCACGGATGTCTGCATCCGTGAAGTCTGCACTTGGGTGATATCCAGCGAAATGAGGGAGCAGCGCAGGTCGATGCGAACTCAATGCGCCTAAACCAGTGCCCTCCTGCGAGATGGGCAGCGTACCTGCTGCGAGAAGTGGATGAGACGGGCCATCCTAAAGCTATCGATATCGTTTGTCTCCCCACCCTCCACGAATCGCCACTGGCTCGAAGGAAGGATGCAAGACGCGCCTCACGAACGGATTTCTCTCCAATGCGCGTCCGATTCGGCTCCGCTAGCATCCATAGGCTCAGAGCGAATGCCTTCATGCAGTGACAAGGGCGTGTGAGCGGCGCGGCTCGACAAGGTCGCCATAATCGCATCGCGTTGGGCTGCGGCGAGGTGAACCTGAAGAAAAGAAGATGGTGAAGGTCGGATCCCGCGTTTCGCGTTTCCATAGTACAGCTTCTGACCGGCGGAAAGAGCGTAGCTATCCCAACCAGGGCACCGGCCTCCAAGAACTCCGGTGTAATATATGCATACTTCCGTACCGAATCCAGCCTATGGAGGAGGGAGCTCCCTTGTCGGCTAGACCTTCTTCGCAGGGCATGCTCGTCTGTCCGGCCGAGGAATAGCACGCAATGCCGCCGTAGTGTGCAGCAAAGCCCCCCACCCTTTCTCGATCGAAGCTGGAGCATTGGTGGAGAGCGTCCGAAGTGGCCGGATTAGCACCCTTTTTAGGGTCCATGTGCCCTCTCAGCTGCAGCTCGTGGCACATTCCTTCATGCAACCGATACCACCGGTCCACAACCTCCAAGGCGGGCTGATCCCTCGCTTCGTCCCGACTAGCATAGCCTGCTGTAGAGGCACAAGGATGCGCATGAAGCGACGACCGGCCGTGGAAGCGGGGCGTCGAACGTTCGAGGCGTATGAGTCTGCCTTGTGCTCTTATTAGTCGAGTCGTGGGGGAAGGGTATAAAGGAGCATTCTCTCTCGCCAACTTCAAGTCATCTCATCCCCTCCATCTACCCTTCATTGACGCTTCATCGGCCATCTCTATTGAACTCTTCCGTCCGCCTCCTTCCACACCCTTTGAAGATGTCACAATCTACCGTCTATGATCCCGATATGTACGAGGACATAGTATGTTAGAGAGAGGTATGCCTTCCAAAAGATTGCTAACAGTGCTAGGCTGCTTCACTTACGGTTGGAACCGACGGCTCGAAGAGCGACGCAGAAGCCGATCGAGCGATAACGCTGGAGCCTGAGGTGTCTAAACCGAGCCATGCAGAGGCCGTGAAGCATGACTTCGGTCTCGGCGCAGAAAACCCAGTCGTCGAAGAGCGACGCAGAGAAGAAACGACGGCTGATGGCAGCGCCCAAAGTCCGGCAGCTGGTATGGCAGAAAAGGTATATGATAATGTCCACGCCATATTTGAGTCCATTACTAAATGAGTGTTTAGTTAGCTGCTGGACATGGAAGTCGACGCTCACCTCAAGAGACGACTGCATCATCTCTGCATAGACTGTCTGGTATGTTCCCAAAACGGCTTGAACCATAGCTTACTCTGTGAAGAGACGGACGCCTTTGAGGGTCTTAGCCGCAAGCTCGCCGACCAAGAAGCAAGAATGGGAAGGTTTGAAGAAGAAAACAGCCACATTAAGTATCTTCTATGGAATATGGGTGACTGGCTCGTCGACTTAGGGGACCATTTGAAAGAAACAGGAAAGACACTGAAGAGAGAAGCTGGGCGTAGGGAGGGGGACGAGGACAAGGAGGCAGCGACAGGCAAAAAGAGAAAGAAGACACATTCTGCTTGAACGGAATAGGAGGAAATAGTAGTAGCGCGCTTTGCTATTGGGTTATTTGCTTAAGTTAGATGAATTTTGGTTTTCCGTCTCCCTCTCTGCACGTTTAATCAGCGATGAGTTATGGTTATGATGTAATCCCTATTCTTGTGTCGAGGTCGCGCCGCATTCAGCCGAACCGTTCTGTGAAATCGCTTTTTGGAAAGCTACCTTCCCTCGTCTCTGTTGAGCTCGAGGGCAATGGGCTGGTGTCTTTATTACTGGGGGCGGATATAATTTACCCTTAATAAGCGTTAACTCTTACTCTTTGCGGAAGGGGATGGCCTTACAAGAGCTTCTTGGCCTGGTGGGGACCACGGCTGGCCTGTCTCATTTGTGGATGCGAATCCGTTAAATCGACCATTGCGATATGCTAGAAAATATATATGGGCGTCATATTTGAGGCACAACCTGGCGAGTTTTTCGTAGAGGGTTCTGGATTGCTTCAGATAATTGTTGTTCGCAGCTCGTCTTGCCTTTGCGCGCTCTAGCACCTGTGAACGCTGTTGAGACAACATGACGATAGGGCTAGAAATCAGGACCGGCTCGTCTGCAAATATGTGTACTGACGTTATACTGTAGAGTTATACTGTAGAGTTATACTGTAGAGCGGCCTTGCGTTGAGCGTGCGACGTCCGGATCCTGAATTAAGGTACCCTCGATCACGGATGCTAGGTTCTAGGCTGCGGGGGTGGGGGGACTTGCGCTTTATTATATATCGAATATAACGTCGCGACATGTGCTTGGTTTGCGGCTTCCCGTCGCCGGGACATGGTTTCTGGTTCCGGTTTTCGAGACCTTGCGAGGTTCCGGTTTTCGAGCCCCTGCTAGGTTCTGGATGCGCAGGTTCCTGTTTTCGAACCCATGTCCGCACGTGCCACGCACGACACGGTTCGGTGCTATATTTAGCGGAGCCCAACTGAACATATGGCCCTTTTTTGGGATATCCCATTGATAAGGGGTTTCCTAGTGACGTCATTGATCAGAGCCGGAGGAGCTAGGTCCTTGCGGCGGTCTACGCAGTCTCGGGCATTATTAGTTCGGATCCCTTGATGTTCCGCCGATTCTCGTCGATAGATGCCACAGTTACCGTCGGAACCTTGACAGTCTTGTAGCTCACCTCACCTAATGAACACATCCCGTAAGGAAGAATAACAACGGTGGTTATATAGTAAAGCCACTGTATCCTGTATTATGCATCCCATACGGGTGAAGCTCTCTGGTTGTAGAACTTGATCCTGTATTGTATATCCCATGTGGGTAGTGCGTCCGTATGGGCGGAAAACGTATGCGTTACGACTGGATTCTGTACTAGGAATCCCATACGGGTAAAGTTTTAAAGCGACAGAACTTAATCCCGGCTTGCGCATCCCCTATGGGCGATCTTCGTCCGCGGGCGGTTAGGGCGAACGGCGTATGGATGATGTAATTGACTGTTGAGAAGCCCGTACGGAGCCTTTCCCGTACGGGAGCCCACGGCGACCCAATCACGAATTAGCTCTGCTCTGCATGGCGCCTAAGCAGCCCACATGTCACCCGTTTCGCTATGTGCCTGTTCCGCTATATCCCCGTTTGTGCCATGCAATCTTACGAACCCGTGTGCTTACTAGCAATAAATGCTTTCCAGCGCCTTTTCGAATGCATCGCGATACCTGGGCGCCTCATGGAACTGAGTCATACCGTTCTCCTTTGGTCCGATCTCATGGCCATTTCTAGCCACACCAGCCCCGATTGGATCTCGCGGACTTTCAGTCCACCAAACACGGAACCGATGTGAGCCCAAGTCTACGCAATGCGCGTTCTTTTTCCATTTTGGGTCCATATTGCCCGGACTGCCTGCGCCGTATCCGCCATGAATCGCTCCAGGTTGGCTTTGGATGGAGGCGTGCGTGATTCCGCTTCGCATCTGGAACCTATTTCTCGTTCATTTGTGTCCATGCCTGATAATCCTTTGACTTGGTTCTCCTGCCCTGCTAGTTTCAGTAAGAGCAACCTCTGCACTTCGAAGGCCCCCTCAATCTCAGATATAGTATGCTTTGAGTTACGGCGAGTTCTGCTTGTTCGCTTACGTGCTTGCCCTTTATCGTTAAAAACTCTGCGCTTAGGCCTGGTCGCTTGATTCATTCGGCAGTGTTCAACGTCTTCAATGAACGCCGTGAGTGGCACCTCTAGTCTCCAGTCCACGGGCATGGTGGTTCAATCTAGGACTAAATTCGATGAAGAGTCTAGCTACTTATAGCTAGGAAGTGGCTATGGGCCAAAAATGACCCCATGTATTTCGTGGGATGATAGTCCACGAAATACGTTCTAATTATATATTTGTAAGAATAATCCCTTGCAAAATAGGCGCTACATGATTCGTAAAAAGCCCTTCGGGACCTCTACTAGCTGCCAATCCTCTCTAAATTGATGATGCTTCTTTTCGCCACTCTGTGTGTATTTGGCTACGGCAGCTAGTACCAGCCGCTCGAGCCACGGAAAGGGAGGTGGACCTCCTTCGATAGAGCATCGAGCTAGGAGTCTAGTGTCCGACTAATCCCTACGCCTTAAGGGTATACGTTAATGATGTACGTTAGGAGAGCCGCTATTATTCCCTCCGTGAACCTGGTATCGTTGCTGTATGCATGGTGAGCTTGCTCTGCGTATGGGGTAACTACCTACACTTGCGTTTCAAGGCTAGGGTGGCAGGCCAACAGAATACCTAATCCAAGGTGAGTAGCTAGCATGCACTATCGTTTCCCGATTTTCTTATGCTTCTGTAGGCTGTCTCGGCGTCGTCTCCAGGTCCGTGGACTTGTTCTTTTAGAGAGCCGTACATATCCTCGAGGACTTTATTGGTTGCAATGCTGGCCGTATCTCTACCACGGGAACGCTAGCTTAATAAGAATAGATTCCTCCGCGAATTAACGCGTACTTGCTCATAGTAGTAATAGAGAATGATTCTTGCTACCCGCAGCCTGACTGGATCTACTATAGAGCCTTGCTCAAGTACTTCAGCACAGCGGAAACTATTGAACAGCTTTTCTATCGACGTGCGGGCATGGGTTAGGTTAGTTAACGGAGGGCGGTCTTAAAGGCCATTCTAGCTCCACCCAAGACGGAAAGATTTAATAAAGCCCCTAGCATCCTCTCGTAGGAAAGCATTACCGAGTCGGATAATCTCTATTATAGTGTTAGGCTTAAGAGGCTGCTTAGCGTGGTTACTATACGTAAATGTTAAGATAGTAAATGCTCTAAGAAAATGTGCCTAGAAGCATCTAGCGGATAGCGTGCTATTTCGCGGTGGACTGTAGAGGCATTCGGGAACCTAGAGTGATGCGCAATTACTACTTAGAGAAGGGGATAACTAGCTTATCTGTGTAGTGTTATATTAGTTTCTATTCTCTGTTACACCGTTAACTAGGTTATCTAATAGCATGCTTTTAGATAAATTACAGAGTATTAAGACATAAGTTAATTAATTAAGAATATAAGAAATATAGCTATATATATATATAACTAGGTTATATAAAGTAGTAACTATATCTAGTAATATACCTCTCTAGCTTAAAGTATATATAAAAAGCTATCTAAGAAGGTAAGGCTTTTAACTATACCTAAAGAGGTAATTAATAATCGTCTTCTATAAATACACCTCTTAGTATAGTGTTCTATAAGAGCTACCCCTCTTGTAAGAGAACTCTATAGAGTTAAAAAAGAAGTGTAGAAAGTAGAGAGATAAGAGATCTATATATAAGGCTATACCTATTTCTAATTAGAAAGTCTAATATAGGTTCTAGAGGTTAGGTTTAGATAGTAGAGCGTTTAAGTGTTTAAGTAATAGTATAATACCTCTATACTACTAACTTCTATAGCTCTTCTATAGGCAAAAAGAGATAGAGTAATATTAAAGACGTAAATTAAACTTAAGAGTAGAGAGTAAAAAGAAAGAATACCTTATTTAATAGCTTTTAGAGTATTTTTATAGTTACTATAACTCTCTATAGCTTATAGTAATTTTATAGAGTAGATTATTAAGTAGATATTAATACGTTACTATATATTTTATTAAAACTAGGCTTATTATAATAAACGTAGTCTATTAATTTTATAGTTAATCTAATAGATTATAATAAACGTAGCTAGTTAAAATATAATAGAATTATATATAAAACTAGTATATATATACGTTAAAATTAATAGAAAATAGTTAAATTAGTATAGTATACGCTTCTATAGTAGAGCTAGAAGTAAAATATAGATAAATAGTTACCTTAAAGGTCTTAAAATACTAGTAAATTAGGTATATATTACTTAGGTTAAGTTTACTATCTAATCTAGTACTAGCGTAAGAGGTTCTTAGATAGCTTCTACTACTCTACTAAGAATAGTAGAAGCTTTAACTTACTAGAAATATTCTTAAGCTCTAACTATTAAATAAAGTAGGTATATTTCTAAGATAATAGAACCTTTATAAGTCTATTAGCTAGTATTTAACTTATAGAAATCTATTTAACGTTAATTCTTTAGTTTTTAACTTTCTAGTAGAGCTATATTTAGTATACGTTAACGTATTTAAGCTTTATCTAAAGCTTCTCTATAGCCTTAGTTACTATACCTATAGTCTACTAATTATTATACTAAAGCTTTAGTTTAATATTAAGGTTTAGCTTTAGGTAGTAGAAAAGTAGGTTCTACTACTCTATTTTTAAAGCTATCTTTAAAAGTACTAGAAGCTCTACCTTAGTTATTAATTTAGTTACTATCTATTATTTTATAGCTTTCTAATCTATAGATAATCTATATAGCTTAAAGATATAGCCTTTAGAGCTTACTCTAGTATCTAGGTTATTACTAAATAAAGTATCTAAGGCTCTATAGAAGATAGACTCTTTAAAATTTACCTTCTAGAAGTATTTCTTCTTTGTAGCGTATTGTAACGCTTTAAGCGTAAGAGTTTTTAACTCTATAAGGTATTACTACACGTGTATAGT